CCACATTGTAGCATATTTAGTGTTTCCAGGTATTGATACTTCATTCCTTTTTATAGCTGAATAATATTCCATTGCACATATATACCACACTGCTTATCCTTTCATCCACTGATGGACACTTGAGTTATTTGCACCTGTTGGCCTTCAGTGGTGCTATGAACCTGCAGGTAAGTGTAATAGTTTGGGTACCTGTTTTCAATTCTTTTGGTTATTCACCTCAGAGTGGGATTTCAGGATTATACAATAGCTCTGTGTTTAACTCTTTGAGGAACTACCAAACTGTTTTCTATGGAGGCTATACCGTCTTAGCTTCCCGTCAACAATGTCCCGTTTCTCTACATCCTCATCAACACTTGGGACTTCTGCTTTTTAAATTATAGCCATCCTAGTAGGTACCTCACTGTGGTTTTGATTTCCACTTCCCTGATGACTAATAACATTGAGTACTTGTTACTGCATATTTCATATATAAGGGAGAAGATGAGAGAAAGAGAAAACCATGTGTCTGAAGAACTTATTTGCAAAGTATTTAAGTGTTCTTTGAGGAGAAAAGTTTACATAAAATTAAACAAAGTGGCCCAAATCTGAGAATTAGCAAGCTACTAATTTTGCTAAATATGTCATACTTGTCATAATAGAGATTTCTGAAGCATAGGCTTTGGCTTCCAGGTTTTTTTCTCCCCATGCTCCAAGTCTTGCAGGATCTCAGCTCCCTGACCAAGAATTGAACCTTTGCCTTTGGCAGTGAAAGTACAGAGTCTTAACCACTGGACTGCCAGGGAATTCCCTCCAGTTTCATTTTTAAATTGAGTTTGTTTTCGTTTTCGCTGTCACTGGGTGGATTGGGGCTGTGTAATGTGCCTTTAAACTATGGTTCTCAAAAGTGAGGTCCAGGGACCAACAGCATGAGCTTCGTTAGGGAACTCGTTACAAACGCAGATCCTTCCTTTTCCGCTCTTTGCACCTCGTGGCCATGTCTTACACAATTGGGAAAATCAAGGACTTCCTGCTCACAGCCAAGGGAAAGGACACCAAATCTGTCCAGGTCAAGAAAAATTAAGGAAAATGTGAAGTTAAAAGTTCGATGCAGCAGATACCTTTACTCCTTGGTTATCACAAAGAGAAGACAGAGAAGCTGAAGCAGTCCCTGCCCCCAGATTTGGCAATGAAGGAGCTGAACTGAACCATAAGCACTGCTTTGAACTGTATGAAAATTTTAAAAATTCTCAAAAAAAAAACCCAAAAAAACACCTTGCAAATTCTAGTATCAGTAGATCAGGCCCCCCCACTGTCTGCTGAGTCCCAGACCCTGAGGTGGCCCCGGCAATCTGTTTTAATCATCTTTTCAGATGAGTGGTGTATGCTCTTAGGTTTGAGAACCTCTGCTCTAACTCAAATTTTCAGGTCAGTCCCGATATTAAAGAGCCCCTGAGGGAAAGGAAATTCACAATTTTGGCTTTGCTAGCATCAACTCTTCTTTTTAACTTTAATAGGCAGGCAATACAAACAGTTAAATTGAATCATATTGTAGTCTCCTGCTAATTCTTAAACATGTATATATACATCTTATAGTTTTACCTAGAAATTGCTATTCAGTCTACTTTTGATCTTTGATCAAATCTCTAAAGAATTTAAGAGCTGCATGTCCTCGGAGTGTATCTTCCATTCATCTGCAGTTGGGCTTTATTTTTCACTTCTTTGGAGCCCCTCCTGCCAAAGTTTCTGGTGTGAAGGTCCCCATGGGCACTCACCACCGCTACTGCTGGACCCAGATATGCTCAGGCAGAGGCCGCGATGGACCCCTCCTCAGTGAGGTCATCTTAAAGGCCAGGGCCCCTTCCACCTCCTCCTGCCAGAAGTTCTTTTTTTGGGGGGTCCACACTGCAAGTCATGTGGAATCTTAGTTCCCCGACCAGGGTTTGAACCTGGGCCCTCTGCATTAGAAGCATGGAGTCTTTACCACTGGACCGCCAAGGAAGTAGCCCTCCAAAACTTTTTTAAGGAACTCCTTTCTTGCCATTTCTTCCAGAAATTGGTGGCCAAGTAATGTATCAGTAGTTAAATCCGTGCCCGAAATTGGCGGTACCGATGGCTGTATCCTGCACAAGCAACTTAATGGCGGGAAACCCCCAACTTGGACTAGAGGGGCGTGTGCAGCCCAGTCACAGGCTCCTTTGATTTTTGTTTTTCCTGCACAGGGTGTTCAAATGGAGATAATACTTGCCGCTACTTGGCAGGATTTTATGGGGATTTAACTCATACATAGATATTTAAAGTGTGTGTGGTACATGGAAGGACTCAGAAAATGTTTATTAGTAGTATAATTTACTCAATGTGAAAGTTGACTGTTTTTTTTAACATAGACTATTGGAAGTATTGACATTTTTGTAGGTATTGTGTTTGCATCCCCAAAGCAGCAGCACTTTGGGGGCACACAGCTGTGTGTACTTTCGAAGGTGAATTACTCACAAATGCTGCCTTTCAGGCATCTATTTCTGAAGGAATGAGAGGATTCCGTTCGGTGGTGTAAGGGAGATGCTGATCGGGTCTCCTGCCATCCTCCAGACCTGAAATCTCTGCTCCAGAGTTAGAGTGAAGTTAGGAAGTAAATGTCCAGTGGTTAAGACTCCGCCTTCCAATGCAGGGGGCTCAGGATCAATCCCTGGTCTGGAAGGCAATTGCCTGCCCAGATTGCCTGGGGTGTGGCCAAAGTTTAAAAAAAAAAAACCAAAAAAACCCAAGAAAACCTTTTGAAAGGGAAAAAGGGAACGGTCCTAATGGTCCCCGGTCAAGCAAACGGAAGGGGCCGCCCCGGCCGGAAGCGAACAAAACCGGAAACAAGACCACTGTGCTTAAATATCTGAAAGCCCCCCACGCGGAAGAGGGATGAACCTGGCTCTCTCTGGCACCACGAATAAAATCAGCCACAGTGGGTCTCAGCTGTAGGAAGGCCAGAGCCCAGCAGGGGAGACTGGCATGAGAGCCAGTGGATCAGAGAGGACGTGGACTCGGGCTGCAGAAGTGAGCCCGGCCAGACACCCCTGTGACGCCCCTTTCAGCTGGTAACCTCGGATGAGCCCTTCAAGCCCTGGGGCAGCCGTGCCCTCCCCGATCCGTGGTCCTGCCTGTCTGCCAGCCCTCTCCTATCCAGTAGGACCCACTGAGAAGAATTGAAGCAAATTTTCCCAAAGACGCAGAACCAACTGCGTTACCCTCCTCCGAAGAGGTTGGTGTTCTTAAAAGGCAGTTTCTTCTCGCTGCCTCTTCACTCAGCCCTGTTTCTCCCGGTCCCTTTCGTTCCTTGGTGTTGCTAGTTTGCCTGATAAGGAGAGTGATGGAAACTGATCAGCATCATTGTAAATTAAAATTCTTTCAGGAGTAGAGAGAGTTCTGTTATTTTTACCTGCCCTGTAAAATTCACGTTGTGAGCCTCATCTTTAACCCCACCGCTGTTCTCAGAGCAATGCATGCAGGTTTGTGTGGACCGATTCTGTAGCGATCGCTGTCGACGGTACGAACTCCGCCTTGAGTTAAACGTCAGCAGCAACAGATGCTGTGCAGTAAAAATAACTCTTCAGACCTTTAACATTCATGCTCAACTGTACATTTGGGAGGCTGGAACCATGGCAAGAGTTTTATTAACCTGAAAATGGTTCTCTCTATCAAGCGCCGTTTCATCCAACGTTAGCACAGACTCAGTTGCAGTTAGCACGGGTGAGTGTGTCTGGCTGCGCTTGCACACACAACAATATTCACCATCATATAAGCGGGAGGGGCACATTCATCTGTGTGTGACATCTGTCATAGGACCCTGACTCCGTGGCCTGACAGTAAACACTCAATGATGGGGTGTATGAAAGAATGATATAATGCCCACAAGGAGAGGAAATACCATGCAGAGTTCAAGTTTTGTATGTAAACTGTGGCAAAGTGCTGCAGTAAATTGCCATTTTCTTCACATTAGTCACGGAGCAAAGGAAGACTGTTTTTTAAGCAAAGAGTAATCTCTGGAATTTAGCATAAAGACGCTTGGTAATTTCAGGCTTTCTGCCTGCTGTTGCTCCTTTGTGGGAGAACCAACAAACTCCATCCATTTTTTACTTCCTCGACATCAAAGGAAGATTGACTCTTTCAAAGATTCCTCTTGCAAAACAAGAGGAAGAAATTTAGAAACATTTCTTCTGATTCACGTTGTTTCTAATTTTGGAATACGTCTGTTATTTCTTTTTGTTTCTGGTTACTTCTTAGTGTATCATAGTAATATGTTTTCTTTATCAGGATAGCAGCATATCTGAGTGCTTTTGTTAGTTTAGTACCTGAGAATGTTACTCTATATCTGTTTCATAATTTGCAAAAGAATTAAAAGTTTGAAATTTATTAATGTGTGTTTAATGGTTTTACCCTTGTCAATAGGGTGTAGAGAAAAGATCTGTGTTTATCCAGATACAGAAAATACAGTATTAAATTGATTGTTGAAGCAAGACTGCAAGGAAGCATTTATGTTAAAGTTCCAGGAAGGGAAATGTCTGAATTTTTAAGTGAGTTCACAGTTACATTTATACTTATAGAAGTAATGCCAGTATTAGGACAGTGACAGTTAATAAAGTGCTTATTGTCTGCTTTGAGCAATAATAGAAAAAGCTGGATTATTTCCAAGTGTAATCAAGTTACTATTGTAGTAATCACAGTGCATGTTCTGAGACTTTTGTGACTTCTGATTCTCGAAGTAGTAGGTATATTCACATCATACTTAGGCTTGAACATGTTGCTTTGGTGCTGGGATAAAACTTGCATAATGTCTATCTTTTGTCATTCAAACATACCTTTTCCATGTCTCCTTATCCTTTATTTCTTTGGGATGCCTGTGCCTTTTAGACAGCCGGGATAGAGGAGGTTAGGGAGAGAGGATCCTCCAGCAGAAGGATGCGCAAGGGGCTTTGTCCAATCAGGTGATGGAAGCTCAGTCTCACAGACAGAGTATGAAGACAGGGCCGCGTCCCATGACGTGGTAAGCTTTTGATACACATAGTATCTAGTACCTTTGTCAAAAGAAAACCCAGTTTTCCTGCACATTTTTCCTGATATAAGGTGGGATTTGAGCACAATTCTAAGAGCCAGATTTTGGACTCAGATTAAGTTCAAATTGACTGCAGGTTTGCAGAGTGAATGTGGCAAGTTGCCATGTTTAGATGCCTTGCTTAACACGGCTGAGATTCATTTCGCTCGTCTACTACATATGGAAGCTTTCCACTTGTCAGGCATCACACCAATTGGTTCTCGTTTAAACTTCATGATCTCCTCCCCACTCCGTCCCTACCTTTTAAAAAAAATAATAGATTGGAAAATAGAGGCTTTTAAGGTTGATAACCTGCCTGGCGTTGTAAGATGGCAGAACAAGGACTTGAATCCAGGTCCCTTTGATGCCAAACTTCAAGTTCTTAACTTCTGAGCCAAATTCTTTCGAATAACTTGGAACCCTTGATTAAACAAACACTGCTGGGCCCTAGAGTTTCTGATCCTGTAGGCATGATATATACTGTACTCCAGGGCCCAAGGATTTGATTCTAACCGGTTCTGAGAAACACTGACTGACTCCGTTCCCCTGGAGAGCGAGAGAGAGAATTCACGTGTCCTGCTTGGGTTCATAATCGCCAGCATTTATTGACTGCCTAACCATGTCCTAGACACTCTTGAGTTATTCTGTTCTCATCCTTTCATTCATCTTAGCCAGTAATCACATTGCAAGGAGAAGATAGGGGTTGTGACCACCACTTAAAATGAAGAGAAAGAAACTGAGGTAGGAAAGGCTATCCAGTAAGATAGCCTCACCATATAGGTTATTTTTTTTTTTAATGTAATTCAACCTTTTCTGTAAATTAAAAAAAAAAAGTGAGGGTAATGATAAACAAGATGTGAAGTTGCTCAGTCATATGCAACTCTTTGAGATCCCATGAACTGTAGTCTTACCAGGCTTCTCTGTCCGTGGAATTTTCCCGACAATGATACACAAGGTGATCACCTTGTGTATCATACAAGGATCCTAGTGAGCTGCAAGTCCTGGATATAGATGGAAAAGGTATCATGACAGTTCTTAGCACCCCTTGCCACCCAAGTAGATACAGTGTCCACACTAGTCCTCAAAAGTGAAGAAAAGCCTCCTGTGTTGAAATGCGGGTTTTAAAAGAAGCTTTCCTCAAGTCAGTTCCTTACAATGCAAATACCCTGTGGTATGGCTGTGCTGACCCTCGGTGTTTACAGCAGCGGCCAGACCAGTCACCTGCTTTCACTTGATGTTAACAGCAAGCTTGGGCCTGTGATGTTGGCCTCACTGCTCGTCAATGTACTGGCCGTATCTGGAAGAGCTCTAGAAAAAACCTGGGGAATAAACAGCTCTCTGTTCAAAATCATTTTCTTAAAATGATTGCTTCCAGTTCAGTCACTCAGTCGTGTCCGACTCTTTGCAACTCCATGGTCTGCAGCACGCCAGGCCTCCCTGTCCATCACCAACTCCTAGAGCTTGCTCAAACTCATGTTCATCGAGTCAGTGATGCCATCCACCCATCTCATCCTCTGTCGTCCCCTTCTCCTCCTACCTTTTGGGTCTTTTCCAGTGAGTCAGTTCTTCACATCGGGTGGCCAAAGTATTGGAGTTTCAGCTTCAACATCAGTCCTTCCAATGAACACCCAAGACTGATCTCCTTTAGGATGGACTGGTTGGATCTCCTTGCAGTCCAAGGGACTCTCAAGAGTCTTCTCCAACACCACAGTTCAAAAGCATCAATTCTTCAGTGCTCAGCTTTCTTTATAGTCCAACTCTCACATCCATACATAACTACTGGAAAATGAAAACAAGGAAAATGATTGGTTTAGCTGGGAGACTAAAGAGGAAAAAAGCTAAGTCAGGAGTTAGAAATCATTCCCTTGGTGGAAATGAAGTGACTTGGCCCTGAGGTTGGTGCTGAGAGGGGATTCTTCATGACTCGTCTCTGGGCTGGACTGCTTCGTAAGGCCGGGACCCCTGCAGCGATGTCCAGAAGTGGATTTCATGCTCAGGGAAGGTTGAGAGAAAAGGAGACACTTCTTTCTGTGGATCCTCAGAGGAGGGCTGTTGCAGGCCACTCCTGGGAAGAAAGGATTTCCTTCCTTTGCATGTTTTCCTCCCAGAGTTCTGAAACACGACACAGCTCGTTACTCTGATGAATGATGCAATTCTAGAAATGACCTATATTTCAGTTGCGCTGTGAAATTACCGATACTCACCAGCAGGGATCACAGAGTCCAGGTGACTTCGTATTTGGAACTGCGCTGATGGGGCCCGAGCATTAAATTAGCAGACATGTCACCTGAAGTTGGCCACCCTACAGCAGGGTGGTCACCAGTCTTTGGCGCTGGCCTGCCTGCAGCTGCCAAGGAAAATCTGAGAAGCGAAAATGAAGAAAGTGAGAGAGAAAATCAACCCATGATAAAGTCCAAAACCTATACTCTGCTTAGATACCTTGTTTCCCCATTAGCTTTAAGGCTAAAAGAAAAAGTATAAGGCATTTCAAAAGGTGAGGTCCCATCGATATATAAATATTAATACTTTGTATGTTTGGGTCCATTAAACATTTTGTTGAGGGACTGTTAAGTCCAAGTGTAAAAATAAGATCTATTTGTCCCTCCTGTCAAGGAGAGCTCTTCATGGACCTTGCAGTCGAGCTAATTTTTAGAAGAGCAGCCAAATCTGTAGTTGGTGTAACCAGATGTACATCTTGTCTTGGCCATGTGCGCGTGCCCAGTCGCTCAGTCGTGTCCGACTCTTTGTGACCCCGTGGACTGTAGCCCGCCTGGTTCCTCTGTCCAAGGGCTTCTCCAGGCAGGAATACTGGAGTGGGTTGCCATGCCCTCCTCCAGGGGATCTTCCCAACCCAGGGATCAAACCCACTCCTCCTGCGGCTCCTGCATTGACAGGCAGATTCTTTACACTGAGCCACATGGCAAGCCCTTTTCTGTTCGGTGGGAAGGCATCAGAGCTCACTCTGCATCCCAGCCATCCTGACCCTCAGATTGGAGTTCTTCCTGGATGACCTTATTCATTTATTGTACAGTCTTAAGCTGTAAACTTTCAAAAGGTATCGTGACTTGCTACTTTTTTGGATATTCATCTTTGCATTTTAGCCCTGTTTGTTTGTTTGTTTTTTCTTTAAAGACTTCAAGCACAGTAGCAGAAACAGTAAAGAACAAAACAGAAATACAGCCTGGATGCTTAGCACGTGGGTGGTGCTGGACTTTGACACGTGCAGTTGGATGGAAAGAGTCACCTGTGCGTTTGTTCTGGTCTGTTCCAGGTTGACCAAGCCCCTGTCGTTCGCTGACTGTGTTGGCGATGAGCTGCCGTGGGGATGGGAAGCCGGGTTCGACCCTCAGATTGGTGTCTACTACATCGATCACATAAACAGTGAGTGTTTCCTTTTCGGTACAAACAAGCATGTCAGACAAGTAATCCCCCCAAATCTAGAGTCATACAGGAGAGCAGACGCTCTACAGAATGAATTTCTCTATTTCAAACCCTCACTTTCCATATTTAACAGAAATGTCCATTTTGGAAGTTTTGTTGGGCTTATGGGGGCAGAGAGGTAGAGAGGAGTCTGTCTGTCTGTCTGTCTGTCTGAAAGGGCACCAGACCCTCCACCTTGCAAGTCCCCTCCCCCATTCTGAATGACGCGCCCTGTGCAGATATGTCCATAGTACCGGCTGCTTACTCATTGTACTGCCCTCACATTGTTTGTAGGTTTTTCCTGACTAAATTGTGAGCTGCTTGTGGACGGTGACTGTGGCTTTACTTTTCTGCCTTTGGGTGCCTCGTATGATGATAAATTCTTCCATGTTAGAACAATGAAGAGCTTTGTTGTGTAATGCACAGGTTAAAAACCTCTCTGTTTTTAAAGAAATTAAAGTGCATTTCAGTTCTAAATTATGCTTTAGAAAACACTGTTCTGAATATTTAAAAACTCGATGATCAGAATATAGATTTTTAGGTCCCCCATTTTTCTTTGGTACGGTAATGGGATCCCAGGGGCCTGGCAGATTTACTGTGGCCCGAAGTGCCCCAGTTACCCACAGCAAGTAGTCTTCCCACTAAAAAGGCTCTGATCCGTTATCTCATTAATCTTAAAGACACTCCTGTGAAGTCATTTAGGGAGGAAATTGTATGTTCTTCTCTTAACAGCTGGTCTACACATATGTTATGTCTTGACATTGTTTAGTTTCAGCATTCTTTTCTTTTTTGTTTTTCAGTAAAAAATTAGACAGTGTTTGGCTGTTTAATACTATTTCTAAGTCACACTATTAAATACCTAGAGGTAAAAGTTTTGACCTTGACAATAATAGTTCCTTTAGGCCCTAAGTGTTTTTGTGATAGAATTCACCTTTCAATGGCTGCGCGTGTGGAGTCAGGGTTCTGTTTAGATATTGATGGAGGTGTTTGTAACTATTAATAGAAGGTAATTATGAAGTACTGTCTGTAAGGTTTTGATATTATCACTGCAACCAGAAGTAAATCACTTTTTGATAGAGTCAGAGTTGTACCTTAACTCTTTTGTCTTTTAGTAATTAAGGTCCATCTACGTATAAAAATGAACAAACTTTAAGCATGTATTTCAATGAATTTTGGCAAATATATACTCCTTTGGTGCTGCTGCTCAGTCAAGATACAGAGTATGGTTTTTTCCTCTGTGTTTTCAGCTTTGCTCCCTTAGCCTTATCAGCCCCTGGATACCTTGTGCCCTTCCCTTTAAAAAATATTTTAAAATTTTAAAAATATTTTTCATAGAAGCAATACATGAGCTGAAGAGAAAAGTATAAATTATAGGTAAAAAAAGGAAGAAAACTCAGAGATAACCAGGTATTCTAAACCTTTCATTGTGTCTGTCCAGACCTTTTCGTGTGAACACACACACACACACACACACACACACACACACACACACAGTTTTCAATATATTTTTTATATCAAGTGGAATTATATCACATACAGCTTTATAAACTGCTTTTTTTAAACTTAATATATAATCTTTCATCCAAAAAATTTTCTGTGCAATCATATCAACTCTTTTGATAAGGGAACCTCACATTTCTCTCAGATGATCTTCCTAAAATATAACCAAGATCCTTTCATGCCCTCACTTAGAGCCTTTCTGCCACACACTGTTGCTTACAGAATGAGTTTTGTATCTCTCAACGTGACATTCAAGAAACCACAGCTCGTCCCTCTTGAGGTCTTGGGGAAGAAGTGAGAAGAGAGTTAGATTCTATTCCCACCGTCGCCAGTAGATCAAAGGAGAACAAATCAAGCACCACGTCCATTCTGAGCGGTGTGCCTGCAGCTCCCGAGAGAAGATGCTTTAAGCTGATGCCCAAAGGATGAGTACATTAACCAGGCCTGGAGAATAAGGCACTGGGGTACAGTTTGGGGGCTGGAAGGAGAAACTGCCTGCAGAAGGAAGCCCCATAAGTAAAGCCAGAGGTCTGAAGAGGCCACAGGAAGTAGGACTTAATGAAAGAAAGAAGAGAAAGTCAGTGATCTGAGGCTGGTGTGAACGAGGCTGGGAGAACGGCTGGAGTGCCAGACCGGGGTTGGTGCTCGAAGGGCCTCTTGTCTCAGACCTCTCAAAGCCCCGCTTAATCACTGCCCATTCCACCGGGCCTGACTTTTTCCGCTGGACAAAGTCCCGTGTCTCTAAACTGCCATGGCACTCAACCGTGCTCTCCTCAAGGCTCTCACCATTTTCTACTGTATAAAATGCTTGTTGTCACTGTTGCTTTAATTCCTATGTCATGACCTGTCCCGAGCTTTGTAATCTCTTTGGCAGGAGGGATCACGCCTGAGCATCTTGTTTTCCCTAGTCACGAAGCAGATGCTCAACTGTCTATAGAAATAACACAGCGTAACAGGTAAACATAGCAGAGAGTTTCTAAAATGGAAGATAAGGAGAGTCGCTCATATTCATTTTATTCATTCTTCCTGAGCGCAGCAGAGAGAATAGAAATGTGCTTAAGAGACAGAAGTAATATTCCTTTGAAGAGTCTAATGTTATCTTCCCTGATAAGTTCTTGTAGCTCACAGTGTGTTCGCTATCTATAAATTTCTCCATCTGTAAAACTGATGGAATGTGAATTCCCTTGAGGTGTGTGATGTCTTAACAGTATGTGATATATTACTTCTCTTATATAGTAGACAGCATGCAAATTATATTGCATTATAATACAGTGATCTCCTAAGGCCACCAGGTCTTAATAAAAAAAAATACCATGTTTGTGTAATATACTTTTTTGAGTATTTACATTTAATAAATATTCTTCACTGATCTATTCAGCAAACATAAGTGATGGAGATAAAGCCCAGTCCTACTTTATGAAGCCTTCTTCAAAGTGCCTCTGGGAACCCACGTTTGTAGTTCCTATTTGAATGGGACGGTATATCAGAAATGTCAGTGGTGCCTGCCGAAGCTAGTAGCATCCGCTATTTAAACCAGTCGACTGGAGTATTTCAGCTAATCTATCCAAAACAAATGCTGACAGGTTATTATTATGATTATTACCATTGTACTTTACTCACTTAAGTGTCCATCGGTGTTACTTTCAGTGTTTTGTGGCAATTTAGCTGTTGACAAGCATTTTATTGAAAAGTATGCCCATTCGCCAATATGTAAGGAAATATGATTAGGTAAAACCTCTAAAGATATTGAGAGAGAACTGGGAATATATATCTTACTATAGCTGTTACTTAACAAACATTTCAGGTTTTTCATTTACACTTTCAATTTGTGTCATCTCTTTATTTGGTTAGTTTCCTAGTTATTTAGCTCACTGGAACAGGTTACCCCAAAACTTATGACTTAAAATATGTTTATTATCTCATCATTTCTGTGGGCGATGCATCCAAGCAAGGCTGGGAAGAGTCGGGCCTCTGGCTCTAGGGCTCTCTCCAGCTGACCTCAAGGTGTGAGCCGGGCTGCATGACCAGAGGAACTCTGCTCTAACCTCACATGTGTGGCTGTCAGAACAATTCAGCTTCTTGTCAGCTGCCAGCCAATGGCCCCCTCCTCACTCCTTGCATGTGTGGGTTTGTGTGTGTATGCATTCAGTCATGCAGCCGTGTCCAACTCTTGGCGACCCCATGGACTGTAGCCTGCCAAGCTCTTCTGTCCGTGGAATTTTTCCAGGCAAGAACCCTGGAGTGGGTTGCCATTTCCTTCTCCAGAGCATCTTCCCAAGCCAGGGATCGAACCCACATCTCTTGTATCTCCTGCATTGGCAGGTGGGCTCTTTACCGCTAGTGCCACTTGGAAAGCCCGCTATGTACATAGTGTGAAAGTGGAAGTGTTAGTTGCTTAGTAAGTAAGTAAAGTTGCTCAGTCATGTCCGACTCTTTGCAACCCCATGGACTATAGCCTACCAGGCTCCTCTGTCCATGGGATTTTCCAGGCAAGAGTACTGGAGTGGGTTGCCATTTCCTTCTCCAGGGGATCTTCCCGACCCAGGGATCGAACACAGGTCTCCAGCATTGCAGATGGACGCCTTACCATCTGAGCCAGCTTAGTCATGTTCAACTCTTTGCGACCCCATGGACTGTAGCCCTCTAAGCTCCTCTGTTCATGGGATTCTCCAGGCAAGAATACTGGAGTGGGTTGCCATTCCCTTCTCCAGGGGGTCTTCGCAACCCAGGGATCAAACCTGGGTCTTCTGCATTGTAGGGAGATTTTTTACAATCTGAGCCACCAGAAAACCCCACTCTGTTCATAGGACGGCTTTTAGTTTGGAAGTTGGCTTCATTAGATCGAAAAAGCCAAGAGGAGCCAGGCAGAGCAAGCAAGACAGTGGTCGCAGCCCCTGTAACCCAGTCTCCAGAGACACCCCATCTTCATCCGTGTGCTGTCCATTTGAGGCAAGTCACTAGGTCTAAGTGGTATTCAGAGGCTTGCACACTAAGAGATAAGGATAATCCTGGGTCATCCAGAGTTAAGACCATACATTTCTGTGTGTTAGAGGATGAATTCTCTGTACTTTGAGTCAGTTTGCATTCATATATTTCAAAATACTGGAATTGAATGTAAATATCGCACATTTAGGTGGCCAGAGATCTTGAGTTATAAGGAATATTTGAAATGGAGATGTTTGGGCTCTTACTGACTGACCTCTGTCTACGACCTGCCTTTATTGTGGTTTCCTCTGGAAGGGGTGCAGGAGGCAGGTTTCAGGAACTTTAAGATGGGATATTTCAAATAATTTCATAATTGCACAGAGGATGCAGTGCGTGAGCTGTCGCAGAGCGCAGGCTCTCAGCTGCAGCCGCTCATGGGAATCACTAAAGGAGCTTATAAACCTGTCATTGTCTGGGTTCCACCCGCAGAAACTCCGATTGGTCTGGGATTTCTTTTAGAGCCCTCCAGGCGATGCCCATGTGCAGAAGTGCAGGACCAAGAACAATACCTTGGGCTATTCTCCTGAAGCTGGGCACCGGGGTTTGGTCTTTTCGCTTGTTTTAAAATTTCTGATGTGCTGTGGACTGACTGGTATTTTTATAAAAGAACAATCACCATGAATTAGAAAAGTCGAAAAAATTAAAAATGCAAGCCCCAGTATTATTATTAGAGTCAACAGATACACAGTAACTGTATGAAATTGCTGTAAGATTTCAAAATGTTTACTCTTGATGCCTGTTCTTACTGTCACAGACACATAACAGAGCTCATGGACCCGTGCTGGCCTGCATCCCACACCCTGAGGGCAGGGCAGCCTGGCAAGAGTCCTGAGTTAAGTGCACAGAAATGTAGGGACCGTATTGGCTTCAGATTACACAGGGCCATAAGTGGCATGGCTTCTATTCTGAAGGTATTGGGGACCCAGAGGGTTCTGGGAAGGGATGACCCAATCACAGCCATGTCGCTGTGCTTACTTTGACATTGCATATGATAAATTTGCAGTGAGAATAAATTGATGACAAAGACAGAAAGGGGTCAGAGTGGGGATGGACTGGGTAAAATAAAGCAAAAACTCTATCACGTTTCTGGAGACGTCACTTCATAATACTAATAAACTACTTGAAGGAGATAAAAATTAAAGACAGCTACTCTTTTTTTTTTTGGCTGTGCCTCTCAGTTGCAGCATGTGGGATCTAGTTTCCGGACCAGGGGTTGAACCCAGGCCCTCTGTATTGAGCGTGCAAAGTCTTAGCCACTGCTTAGAGCAGAGACCACCAGGGAAGTCCCAGCTACCTCTTTTTTAAAACGTAAATAACCCCCCTCCACCCCCCCCCCCAAAAAAAAAACCCGTCATTAAATTCTGGAAAATAAGCCACCTGATTTATTTTCAGAAACCACGCAGATCGAAGACCCGAGGAAGCAATGGCGGGGGGAGCAGGAGAAGATGCTCCAGGACTACCTGTCGGTGGCCCAGGACGCGCTGCGGACGCAGCGGGAGCTGTACCACGTGAAGGAGCAGCGGCTGGCCCTGGCCCTGGACGAGTACGTCCGCTTGAATGACGCCTACAAGGAGAAGTCCAGCTCTCGCACCAGCTGTAAGTACAGCGTGGCTGCTCAGGCCTGAGAAGGGGGGACCGACCTCAGGTGATGGGAGGCCACCGGGGGTCCGTGGGACGGGCTCTGGGTCCTGCGCCCCCTTGGGCAGGAAGAGCCCCTCAGCCCGGCTTCAGAGGAAGGTCTCCTCGCTGAGCGATTGACGTTTACCTTCTCACATCAGGGCAAGTAATCTGGCCCTTATGCTGCTCTCGTACGTTGCTTTTAGTGGGACTAAACTGAAACTAGAGCGGTTAGCACAGACCAAGTTTCTGCTGACCGACCAACCTCTCATCTCAGAGACGCCTTTTTTAAAGCAGCAGCTGTGATGGGCTCAGACGTCCCACTGAAGTGACAAGTTTCTGGGTAACACAAAGCGCATTTAAGCTGTATCTGCAGTAAGCTCCTCTAAGATTTTATCCATAGATGTAAAATCCACAGGAAACTGAGGCACTGGGGTGTTGATAACGTTCCTTTTTATTGAAAAAATGATGAAGGTTTGAAGATGACTTTTTATATCTAGGTGTCTGATGAATGACAATAAAGGAGTTAAAAAGTTAAGTAAGTATCCCAGAAGCATGTAAATCTTGTCGTTTTTAGCGTTTGTAATTTCTAAGTTGACAGCTAGTTATGCAACTTGTACAAGTCACTTTTTTTTTTCCCCCTCTCTTCTCCCTTTGAAAGTATTCTCAGGCTCTTCATCCAGTACTAAATATGACCCTGATATCTTAAAAGCTGAGATCTCCACTACACGATTAAGGGTAAGATTTATTTTTTTTTTTTTTTACTGTGGTTCTATTAATATGCTGAATATATGCACAGAGTCTAGAAGGGGCCTCTGTGTTCATCTGCCATCTCAATTCAGTGAAGGAACCATTCCACTTATCCTCGATGGATGGTCTTTCTGCTTTTGTTAAAACATGTTCATGAGATTGTTCTTATTAATATGACAGAGTGTGTTCCATTTCTGGGGAGTTTTATTGTTTGCTCTTAGTATGTAGAATCAAAATATGGTTTAAAAGTTTAAATGGTTTAAATCAAAAGTCTAAAAAACTTCAGTTTTCCTTTTTGTGCTGAAAGTACACGTCCAAAGTGGAGCAGGCGGCCCAATCTATCAAGGTGTTCACAGTTCACATTACCAAGTCACTTCTTTTTCTAGGTCAAACATGACTGGTGCCTCACACTTCCTTATGTGTTGTTTGCTGATCTTTACCCTAAATCTTTCTGACCACACGCTGTTAAGGTCACAGCTTGTTTATCCTTGATTTTTGGGGTCTTAAAGACTGCTCACCAAGTAAATAAACTCGTGCAACCCTTGCATAGGTCATGAAAGAGATTATTGCCGTGACCCCAGAAGCCCCCATGGCATTCCCTGGTCACCCTTGTCCTTCTCCCTACAGGTGACACTGGGTGACCTTTATTGGCAATGCTATAAATCAATTTTCTGCCTGCTTTGAACTTTGTGAAACTGGCATGCTACCACATGGATTACTGATGGCTTCTTTTGTTCAACATTTCTTCTGTATTTTTTAAAAACTTATTATTTTAATTTATTTTGCAATCTGTGTTGGGCCTTAGCTGAAGTACTTGGAGTCTTAGTTGCAGAATGTGGGATCCAGTTCCCTGACCAGGGGTCAAACCCGGTGCTCCCTGCATTGGGAGCTAGGAGTCTCAACCACTGGACCCTTGTTCAACATTTTGAGATTCATCCACATACACTTTTATTGCATGTAAACCATCCCACCTTTGTGTAGATACCATGAATTCTTCATTTCTTCTACTATTGATGTACATTAGAGTTTATGCAAATTGCTAGTAATTAAAAACTTGCATCTGAATGTGTGTGTCTGTTACACATGCCTTTGGGTGCACAGATGTATGCATTTTTGTTGGTTATGCAACCAGGAGTGGAATTGCTCTGTTAAAATATACTCGAGCAGCTACTCACACCCAGTTTCAGGCCTTGTTAGTCAATCAGTTCAAATTATTTCCTTATTTCTTTATGATTTTTCATCAGAGTGTTCTGCTTAGTTTTTAAACAGTTTTGGATTTTCTTATCCTTTATTCAGCTTAATTCCACCACACGTTTTCAATTCTAAAATTTCTGTTTATTTGTTGTTTTTAATTACTTGCCCAGATTCTCCACATCGATGTCATAATTTTTTGAACAAAATAATCACAGTTATTTTAAAATTCCATGTCTTGATTAGTGTAATATCTAAAACTTTTTATGTGTTGAATTCTTCGTTCCAGTCTGTTTTTTTTTCTCTTGATTTTTGGTCAGTATTTGACCTCTCACAGCTGCTTGCTTTTAATTAAGAGCCATATATTATGTATGAAAGAGAATAAAGATAATTTAAGGTTTGGGATGATCTCGTTAGCCTTCAAAGAGGATTTACTTTTGCTTCTTAGAGGAAGTTAGTTCAGGGGCAGATAACTTCAATTCAGTCAGGGTTTGAGTTTTCTGAATTCTGGGCTCCATTCTTCTTCTTCTTTTTACTTTTTCACCACACCCATGGCATAAGGGGAATTTGTGCCCCGACTGGGAATCGAACCCATAGGGAAGTCCTTGGGCTTCGTTCATTTTCCTCAGAATGGGTCTATTTCCAGAGCACCCTTTCTCTCAGGTCAAAGCTCTTCGGAGTCCCAGTTGAACTCCTGGGCTGTTTCCTGAGGAAGCAAGCCGACTGAGGCTGGACTCCTCTCTCCCTGGAGCCCTCGGCTCTGAGAAATAGCCAGTGCTTCTCTGCGTGTCAGGCTCCCGGTCACTGCATTCTCCTAGCTTTTCACTTTCTTGATCGTGTAGGCAGATGCCTCGGAAGGAAAACCGATGCCAAGTTTGGATCTTGCCTGTGGGCCTCTCTTATCATTTAGCTCCTTAACAGAAGTTCTTGCTGCCCTGGTAATTCTCCAGTATCTCCAAATAGATTTTTGTTTGTTTAACCTCGCAACTTTTCTATCTGTTCTCAGAAAACATGTGAAGAAAGTCTGTCTATACTTTCCGGAAGCAAACCTCTCTTTGGTCTAGACTTCTGGGTGTAATTCATGAAGTCACTGTTGGAAGTTTTCTTTTCCGCCGCAAACAGCCCTTTGCCCTGTCCACCCGCCTTCATTTCTCTGTCTGTTCTCGAGGAGCTCACAGGCGGTTTGTGGGACACCTCATTGCTGCGTCTCTGTATCACGTCTATACATTTCTGTAATCTCAAGCAGATATCTTATTTTTAAAAGGGCTGGGGTGGGACAACAGGTGAAGTTATGTTGTCAAAACTTACCCTTGCTAAACTTCAGTACTCCCTGGAGCTCTGCCCATCTCAGACGTCACTACGTATTATTGCTACCCCCTTGAAATCTTAACCATCCTTCACAGTTCTTTTCTTTGTAAAACATAAATATAGTACCTCACATTGTATATGGAATACCTCAACACACTATCATAATCTGTCGCTTTAAATCCCGTTTTAGGAAAGATTCTAACTAAGAGAGGGTTTTTTTTTTTTAAAAAAAAAAAAAAAACAAACAAAAGCAAGGCTTCCCTCGTGGATCAGTAGTAGAGAGTCCATCGGCCAACGCAGGATACGTGGGTTCGATCCCTGTCCCGGGAAAAGCCCATAATGCCTCGGGGCAGCCAAGCCTCTGTGCCGCGGCTGTGGAGCCTGTAGCGCCGGGAGCCGAAGACTGCTGCGCCCGCGCGCCCTGCAGCCTGTACCCCACAGCGAGGGAAGCCACTGCAAGGAGACGCCCTCGCCACAGCTAGAGAGTAGCCCCTGCTCGCCGCCACTGGGGAAAAGTCTGCACAGCAAAAGCCCAGCACAGCCGAAAAAAGTAAATAAAATTATTCAATAAAGAAGAAACGAAAGCCTACAGGTTGCCTCACACCTGTAGCCGTCGGAAGGAAACGGAGCCTTCTATAACTGGGAGAGATCCCAGAAGACCCCACGGAGCCACGTCCCCCAGACCCATCTCCTGATGCCACAGAACCCCTCTGATAAAGCTTATTTTGCCGCGGGTTTAATGCGCGCTTACGAGCCTGTGTTCAGACGTGTGTCATCACTGTGGGACCACAGAGTGAGTCGGGGAGGAGTGCCCTCCTCCACAGGGTGCTCCCCTCAAGAGGGAGGAGGCATTCACGAGTGACTGGAGTGAAAGATGAGAGCCTGTCTTCCATTAGTTCCTGTCCGTGAAAATGCCTTTTAATAGGAATGCTTCCACAGCACATGGGCCTCGAGGTCACGTTCTCTTCTGATGCTTTTAGCCATGTCTGGTTTGACCATGGCAGGCCAGGTGGTGCCCTCTTTCTGCCACGTGGGCATGTTTTGGCCAGGTAGCTCTTTGAGAATGCCCCAGGCGTTCTGAAGGGCCTGGATACCTTGAACCAAGTTTCGTGGATTCTGACAACCTAGCTTTTCTTAGCTCGCCTCTCCTGGAGAAGTCCTTGCATGTACCCATCCCTTTCACAAAATAATGCCACAGAAATTGTTGTGCATTCACTCCGTCATGTCTGAGTCTTTGCAACCCCATGGACTGCAGCACACCAGGCTTCTCTGTCCTCCACTATCTCCTAGAGTTTGTTCACACTCATGTCCATCGAGTTGGTGATGCCATCCAACTGTCTCATCCTCTGTCATCCTCTTCTCCTCCTGCCTTCAGTCTTTCCCAGCATCAGGGTCTTTTTCAGTGAGTCGGCTCTTGGCTTTAGGTGGCCAAAGTATTGGAACTTCAGCTTTAGCATCAGTCCTTCCAATGAGTTTTCAGGATTGATTTCTTTTAGGATTGATTGGTTTGATCTCTTTGCAGTTCAGGAGACTCATAAAAATAGTAACTCATGAATTAGCTAGCTCCTCATTGCTTTGGTGTCTTATAGAACCTATCTCCATTTTAGGTTCTAATAACAATTTTTCATACAAAGCCAAGTGCTGGTTCATACCACATTATTTTAACGTAACAGTGTTAGCAACTGTGCTTTATTTTTATTGAATTAGAGCAAGTGGGTCAAGTGTTTGGGAACCAGGTACATAGGAGCATCTGTCTAAAACATCTGTTTTATGTTATTTTATATTATGGTCGTAGGTGTTGGTGATCACTGGGCTTTAGTTTCCTCCTTAGGCTAATGGGATGACAGTACTTCCTGGCGTCTAGTTGTTGAAAAGGTGAAATGAATAAATTAAGCTCTTAATAATATACTCATCATTTTTAGAGGTAATTGTCAATTTTTTGAAAATCTTTTTTTAAGATGAGGAATGTAAAAAACTTATACCAAAATTTATTATTTCATTTGTATCTGACATAAACTAAACCTTCAATTCAACTGATATTTTACAAAGTTCATACCAAAACTTACAAATAAGTGGGATTTGGTGAAAATTTGATGCAGGAAAATTTTGATGAATTTTGATTGCTTTTACTGATTTTTTATCAAACTGAAATAAAATGTTGGAAGTGTAAAAGTGGAAATTTCTTTAGAAATACAGTTGCATTTGAGAAATTTTTCTATTTAGTTAATGTTTTCAGATATTTTCATATAGATTATTTTTAGTCTTTATTGAATTTGGTACAATATTGTTTCTGTTTTATGTTTTGGTGTTTTGGCTGGGGGCATCTCAGGTCCTCACCCAGTGATCTAACCTGCACCGCCTGCATTGGAAGGCAGAGTCTTAACCACTGGACCACCAGGGAAGTCTCACATTTGAGACGTCCAGCATGTCACTACAGCATCTGCTGTATGATCCAACTTCTAATTGTGTCAGAAAGGAAGCAAATGCTC